TTCCCTACAGTTTTCATCACCTGTTTTTAAAAACAGGGAATGGAACTATTAGGATTACAGAAAAAACTTGTGAGATTTGACTCTGGGATGATGTGCAGTTCCAGAGCTGAAATCTCATCAATGCACACATTTAAAGAAAAACTTGTCTGCATGAAGATGCTGGAGCCACTGCAATATCAAAAAACATTCTGCCCCTTTGGTATGGAAACTCATGCAGTATTTTGGGGTTCTTCAAAAGATCACAAGTGCCCTTCCACAAGATGCAGCATCCTCACCTTCTCTGAAGCATCCTGCTTGCGAGTGGAGTCGCGCCCACGTAGGCTCTTTGCACTGATCCCCGACTCTGATGTTTGCATGATCAGCTGTGTGGCCAGAAATTGCTGCAAGAAAACCACGCCGTTAGAATTCTCAGGTAAAAACAAGCTCAGTTAGCACGTGTCAGTTAACTATCACAAACCACAGTCTGGGAACGACTGGGTTAGAGGCAGTTTCAGTTCCTTGTCTGCTACTCAGAATAAGTTCCTCCAATTACCTCAGAAGCCACAAGTCCTGAGGAACTATAAAACCCCAGTTTGAACTGTGTTAGTGCTGCCAGTTGGGACACTCTATTTCACAAGCAATTTTAAATGGCACATATTCACAGGACACAGTTTCATGTATGCTTTGTACCAGCGTAAACCAGCAGAGCCACCAGAAGCAATCGCATTCCCTGTCATTCACTGTTCTTGTTGCTTGTTTGTGTTCCTGAACCACACCCTGGCTCTTGCTGGCCTAAGCATTTCCCTGAAGGAAATTAGATTTTAAATTGGTCTGGGCTGAACCTAAGAGAAATTTTGCTGTGTTATTTCTAGCTTACGCACAATCTAGTTCACCAAACACCTGAGCTAGCACAAGAGAGATGCAGGGAAAGACAGGACCACTTCATTCAAAGACACTGAGCAAAACATCTGGAAGTCTTTCCCACACTTATGGGCTAAGGCAAATGCTCTGTCCTGCACTTTACCTGGATCTGCTCCAGGACATCTCGCTGCATCTCCACAGCCATGTGGTACACGTCATGGTCAGAGCTGTTGTACATAACTGCATTCTGAAACATCAGCATAATATCACGCTGGAACTCAGCTGTGGTTCGTATCAGCCCATTCTCAATGTTCTTTTTGATGGTAGATAAATCCATTGGCCTGTGAAAGAAATGCAGTCAAAAATAGCAACAGAAATATTTAACTCTTTACGGACTCTCTCACAGACAGTAACATGTCTACTTAGACCACCTATTTCATTCAGCCAAACAGGTTTTCCCACACACAGGCTGTGTTCATGAGTTCCAAGGCCCTGGTCAGAAGACACAAGCTGTCCAGCAGTTATCATGAACGGTAAAAACAATGTAACAGATGCCTCAGAGAGGCATTTGCCTTCTCCAGGCATCACTGACAGAGGCATTAAGGAGCTAGAGCTGCAACCACTGAACTGTTTAGGAGAGATTTTGGGGGATAGCAGGATTCTGGTAATTCTTCCAGAAGAGTTTGCTATCTGGGACAGTAAAAAATGCTGATTAAAGAAGACAGGTCTTTGGAATTCCAAAGATTAAATTGTACCCTTGGACAGAAACTGGAAGAACCGTATCAGTCACCACCTTACAGATAAAAAAACCCGTTCTATGTAAGTCAGTGTACTTCATTCAAAGACAGGGCTGTGTGAAGACATGTGTCTGTTACTGAACACAACCCTTTTCTTGGAGAAGCCTGCTTCTGACTGAATCATGCCAGAAACAAATAACCTTCCAAGTCTTGCAGTCTGCATGGCAGCTAAAAACTACATTGTTCCTTCCAGAAATCCTTACACAAATGTGCAAATATACAGAGTTCTAATGATGGGAGGACTCGTGAGACTCACCTCTGCACAATACTGTGGTAGCCTGGTGCTATATCATCAGTCACAGGCTGTAGAAAGACATTGGCGTACCTGCAGGAAGAAGAAGTTCCCTTAGTGTCCTCCTTGTTGGTAAATATTTGTTTTATGCTCTCATGTTTATTTGTGTGCTACCAGTATGATTCATCATATCCCAGTGAGCCTCCAAGAAGGGAGACTGGAGACTTGTCCAGGATTAGTCACTTCTTTCTGCTGGTTGATCACAGACATCAAACCCACCTGTGATTAGCTGCTGCTCTCCAAACTAGCATGATAGCTTTCTTCCATATCTTCTGGGCCTGTATTGCTTCCTGGTCTTCACTACACACTGAGCTGGGAAGAAAAGAACAGAACTTCCTTCAGGAGTCTGCATATTACCTTAGAGCAGACAACATATGGTTTGTTTTGCCTTTGACATGCCTACACTAATCCATGGGAGCTGATGCTACCTGTGCACTTGCAAGCAAGGAGAGCCAGACAAATCATCAACAAACTCCCCCTCTGGGCCCGAGCAGCCAGCGAAACAGAAACAGTAATTCTGTGTCCCCCCCACAAAATAGTGTGGGATTTGCACCTGTGTGCCTGAGAGCTTCACTGATACTCACAACTGCGAGGAGGCTGGGCTGCTGGGGATGGAGTCGGCTAGCGTGTGAGACTGTAAAGGTGCATTATGGACACTGAAGCCATCATCACTCTCGCTCACGGGGGGTTCGTTATCCATCTCTGACAGATATCCCTCACCCTGATCTTCTTCTTTGGGTTCCTCCAAACTGGCAGCCTCACTGGCACCATCCTCATCATCCTCTTCACCCTGCCCATCCTGAAACACAGAGTTCATGAGTCTGCACAGCCAGCTACAGCAGCAACTCAGAGCCTCCAAAGCAACTATGGTACAGCAAGCAAAGTGATTTTCTTGCTACATTGCTAACAGCTGTACAGGCACCTTCCCAAAATCCCAGTCACTCTACCCTGCCCTGGCTTCCCCAGACACAGAAACACACACACAGAGCTTCACAGTGCCTGAAGCAAGCTCCCCTTTAGTTCCAACTGCAAACTGCCCACTTCTCAGTGCAGAAAGTGGAACATAAGCTTTGCTTTTCAGCAGATGGGAGCCAGAAAGCAGTAGTAGGGAGATGTTACTAATACACTCAAGATGACTACAACCAATTAAGAATTACCTTCATCTGACTCCTAAATAGAGCTTGGGCCTCCTCCTTCATTGACTCTGTGAAAGAAAGAAAAGCAGAAAGGTTGATTCTCCAAAGCAGTCTTCCCCACAAAAGCTCCTGCACCAATGCCTACTGTCCTGTAGTAATTAACACTGTTCCTACACGTATCTTTTCTCCCTCCTCCCCAAAAAACCTGAACCAGATCACTGACAACTATCCAGCTAATAATGTTGCATGTAAAAGATTTCCTAGCTGAATTAAGTTACCTGACAGCTCAAATTTGTGCTGAACATCAGCCTGTGAGGAGTCTTCACTCACATTTGGGACTTGTGGAGGGGATGAATCATCATCAGGTGGGGTCTGGAGGGAAGAGAAATGCACAAATCTAGATGTTTGTGTCAGCTTACTTCAGTGAAGGTGTGGGCACATCTCACTCACTCTAACCTAACTCAAGGCAAAATGAAGTTCTCTGAGCACCTTCTCAACAGCAATTCTGCACATGGGCGGGGGGAGATACACAAAGGTACTGCCTAAAGCAGACAGCTTCTCTGCAGATCGAACAGATCAGCAGCATGACTCCAAAGAAAACAGTCAGTCACATTCATTGAAGGGATACCTTCAACCCAACAGTCATCCTTCCTCTAAACTTCTCTCCTACCTGCCACAACTTCTCCTTTCTTTCCCCACACCAGTTCCAGACAGCCTCTCTGCCCACATACCTCTGCCTTCACTGTATTGTGCACCATGTCTTCTCCCTTGGTCGACTCTATCTCGATTTCAGAAGTCTCTCCTGCTGTTACAGCTGCTCTTTGATCTTCTTCTATCTCTTGATTTCGAAGCTCTGGTGTTTCTGTCACTCTTGCAGTTGCTGCTATGGTTTCCTCAGGGCCCAGCTGATTCTGCTCCTGCTCTGCAGGTTCTGTTTTTATTTCTGATCCCAGCTCGCCAATGCCCATTAGGTCTCGAATTCCCTTTGCCTCTGGCTCCTCACACTCCAGTCTCTCCTGCTTCACAGTCACAGATACTTGGGGTATCTGGGCCTGTTTCTCGTGCTCCTGATGAATTGAGTGTTCCCACGGGCCAGGCAGGGTCTGAGGGTCATCTGTATCTTCGCAGAAAGAAGACAGAGCAGCTTCTACAACTGCTGCATCCAGGACTTCAGGGTGGTCGTCTACCTTTATTGGCAAAACACAGAGTAGTGCAGGCCAAGGTCAGAAAAAGGGATTTAAAAAAATAAAAATAAAGGAGTTTATGTTATTTGGTAGAGACAACTGTGGAAAACCCAGAGTACTGGGTTTACAAAGTTGTCTTTCACAGCCAGACTCTTATCACTCCCTGTGGAGCTTTAGTTTCAGAAATACAGCACTCCTGGAGAGTATGCTGCAAGCAGTGCTCATTTCTCTGCCAACTGTGACCCAAACCCAACCCAACATGAGGAAGAAAGAGATTTCTTTCTGCACTCTGAAGAGGAGCACCAGGCTAAATGTAGCAGACTAGCAGCAGTGGCGTCACAGAACCATTTTCTACTGATCTGGACAATGATGGTGAGAATGTGCATTTTGGAATAGTTCTTTTCTTGCTGGTTTAAACTAATTAAACTGGTGAACAGTAATCACTTGAGATTAACCTAACTGGACATGGAACAAAAGGCACTGTCATTCTGCTTTGCCTATTTACCTTGTCCTCAATAATGGCTATAATATTTCCAACGGTATCAAAGTCCAGCTCTTCCCCTGTATAGGACACTGCAATATCCATTTTCTCAGCTAAATCGAGGTCTTCTTTCCCATCCATACAGTGATCTTTGGAAGACCCTGCAGTACCGCCAGCCCCAGAACCCAGGCACTCTTTCTTGATGGAATCAATGATCATGGATATTTCACTGCTGTCCATGGACACTGTCACGGTATGGGAATCAGACACTGCCTCCATGGAAACACAGGCTTCTGGTTGGCTCACTGCACAAGGGTGAAAGTGTCAATCAGAGATCAATCTGGAGAAGTCAAGCCCACATAAACAAATACAGCAGTGGATAAGACCAACCACAATCATCCCAGGTCCACCCACAACACCATGGCTTAGAAAAATAAAAGACAAACAGAGGTTGCTTTCCCACAGTAGAGACAAAGTGAGATTCCAGCCCTTGAACCACAATCCAGCAACACACATTAACACCCTTCCCTCTTCCCCTCCCCAGCAAATCCTGTTTAAAACCATCTGTTTACTCCAGCTGAAAGGACGGATGAGTCCGAGGTGATAAAACGCCAGCTGAGATCTTGCTGGGTGCTGATCCCAAGGGAAGTTCTGCTTCCCACCAGTGCAGGATCTATGAATGCGTAGTTCAGGAACGCACCTGTGGCTACGCTTTCTGGAGCTGCAGCTGGTGGCACAACGGATGGTGCTGACAGCGTGGGCATCATGACAATTGTAGCCTGGGACACAGGCTCTACTGGGGGTGGCAGGAGCTTAGCTGGAGGTTCGCTGGCAACAGCGGAGAAGGAAGCAAGAGGTGAGGTGAACTGTGCAGGACCAGCTTCTAAAAGCCGGGAAAGCGTAGGAGCACCTAACAGAGTAGAAGGAAAAAGCACATGAGCAAGAGGCAGCCACCACTCAAGTCCACAAAGACACCACTGGGGTCTTCACTGTCTGGTGGCTTCTTCTGGGAAAAGACACTGAGAGGTACCTATAAATAGTCACAAAAACTACATGGAGAACCTGCACCCCAAAATGCACAACTCATTTGTGTGTGCAGTCTGAGACAACCATGCAGACTGTGGGACACTGTGCTCAATATAAGGGCTGCAGAGACTAAGCCACACATGCAGAGAGATGCCCTTCCAAAGGCTCATCCCAATACAATTAGAGGAAATCTGAAAAACAGTGCTGAGCGAGCCACATAAGGTGAGCCAAGACAAACAGTCATCGCAGGAGCTGGAAGGGAGCAGAGGGGATCTCTCTGCAGGTCTTTCCTGGAGAATTCCTCTTTTATCAAAGGTTGCCACTGAGCTGTAACTTCCAGTCTGAATTTACCAAACTGTCTGGAACAAATTAACAGGTCTTGAAGAACAGATGTGGAAAAGAAAAGCAATGTTATTCATATGGAATTATATATGAATGAATGGCAAAAATGCTCAGTTGCAGACAATGTGATTAAACTACTGGTTAGCATGAGCTGAGAAGAACCTTCACCTTAGGCAGGTTGTTCTGAAAAGGCTCAATGCAAAGACTCTTGCACTGTCCCTCTCACCCTGCTCTCTGTGGAACTTACTTCACAGTCCACTGTGGTCTAATCCTCAACAGGCCTCTAAGCTAAAGCAGAGGTAAGACACGAGTTCTCCGGGTTCACAGGGAGCTGCAGTTGGACACTTTTTTTCCCAACTCCCTGTCAACTAACCCTTTCTTTCTACACTGAAATGCCTGGTATTAGCCAGTGTCAAACCCAGAAAACTAGACTTCATGGACTAGGCTCAACTCAAGTCTAATTCTTTCAGTGATTTTAGATCAAGGCACTCTTTCTTCTGTAAGCATTAGGGTGTTCTTAAAAAAAAAAGTAGGGGTGAGAAGGATGAGAGTACAGAAATAGGAATACAACTCAAAGAAGCCCCCAGACCAGCCAGGTTAGATGCCCTTCATCTCTCTCCAAAGAGGACTCATACAACAGTCTGAAGGTACATCTGAAGCGAGAATCATTCAGGGAGAGTCCCGAGTTACCTGAAGCAGCAGGAGATGCAGGGACAGCACCAGGTGCCGACTGCATTTCCCCACTGTGCAGCACTGGGAGGACACTTCCTACCTCCAGCAGGACTCCTGAGCTGTTCATGTGACCAGAAGCCACTGTCATTTCATTTTCACCAACCTGCCAAAGGAGGACAGAACTGAAAATCCTGGAGATCACCATCACATCAGTGATTCTCTGCCATATATGCACCTCCATAAATATGTCCGTCATTTGCTGCCTCAGCATTTCTCCTGCACTTTTTGTCCAGCCTAGTCCCTGCCTGAGGCGCCCATGCAAGTGCTCACCATCAAAATCTGAAACTAGTTGTTGCTCTTCAGCTACAATGCAGCTGCAGTGCCACCCTCCTTTGAAGTTAGGCCAAACACATCATTTGCTCTACCTTAGTTCCTCTGTTCAAAGATCTCACAATCCTTTACAGATACCAGTCTCACTATGCCCTGAGATGGCATTGAATTATCCCTTATTTTGAGTTGAGGGAAACTGAAGCACTAAAGTGGAAAGTAACTCTATCAATGTCACACAGTAAACGTATGATGGACCTTGAAGCAGATGTAAACCATATGCTTCAAAGAAAACAGATGGTTTACGAAGAAAACCCAGTCTTCAACAGCCCTTTGTTGCTGTACCCTATGTTATACTGCACCATGCATACACAGAACCCATGAACATTTACCCAAGCTAACAAATAGAAAATACCCCAAATCTGACTATTAAAAAACAAGAAAGTCAAGAGCAATACACCTTTTCCATCACACAAGCACTAACACAGGGAATCCGCGCCATGGGCAGGCTGATGGCTATTATTTTCAGACCGGACTCTGAACAGTGTCAGCAATGGTCACCCTCCTAAGATTTCCAGAGTCACTAACACCAGAAGTGGGTTGTCATCACAGTGATTTTAGCTACTGCCTACAATTAGGAGAAAACTGAAGCACTTCAATATTGGTCATTAAACTCCATTAAAGGACTCCCTACTCCTATGCTAAGATCCATTACAAATATTGGAACTCAACTTTTGGCCAAGATGTAAAAGAAGAACTGTGAGCCCAAAGTAGAAATCATCAAGAACACCTCCATGGAGGCTGACTGGGATGATGCTGACTAGCATGCTCCCTCCCCTGGGGAGAACAATTTCCTCTAGCAAAGCCTGCAACTCCAACTCCTTACAACTGAGGGAGATAGCCAGTCCTATGTGCTGAATGATTCCTGCAGTCTGCACCATAGTACTGCCAGGAAAGGGTCCCACCTCTGTGGCTCACAGGGATAATTCTATCTCTCACCTATCTCTTCTGTTGGGACTCTCACAAAAACCTGTATGCTTTAAAAAAGCCTTTGCATATATGAGCAGAGAGCTCCATACCAGCCTGGGGCTTGTGGGCAGGAGACTGCCCTTCTTCAGCAGCTCTGAGAGCAGAGGGGAAGGAGGCGGAGTTGCTTTTTGTCCTAGCATCTTTTTCTGGGGTGAATCATCAGTGACTGGGGTCATGGGGGCATCCAGGGGAGCAGAGCCTGGAGGGGTGTCAGGGATTCCAATGAAGGAGGCAACTGGGGTGCTGGGCAATGTCCCTGGAGTGACCTGAGAAAGAGAAAAACCACACTGTTCAAAGCCACACTCCACCACACGGACTAGCCCCACTTGCTCCTTCCCCCAAGAGCATTGATCCAGCACACCACAGACACCTACTCCATTCACTCACTGCACCTACTCCAGGCATATGCTTTCATCCTTTCCCTGCTCTGTAGTGCCACTTCCCAGGCACACACAGAAGACTGCCTGGCCAACCCACTGATGTCCCTACACAGCCTTTGATGCAGGCACCTGATCATCACAGACACGGAAGAGGACACGTAGCAGCACTGTACATCAACCACACTACAGCACTACCACAGCGAAAAGTCTGCAAAGCAAAGCAAGGGTTTCTCCACAGGCTCCTTCTCCATGATGGATGCAGTGCCCCTGTCTCAAGCTGGTCTTTCTCTCTTACTATGAGAAGGATCCTTACCCCTGGACTGGCCTCATCCACAGCGGGCTGAGACAGATCTCCCAGAGCGTAGTCTCCCCCTGGGGAGGTTGAGCCTGCAGGGGAGCGAACCATCACACCTGTCAACCGTCGTGGTGGATTCTTAATGGCCTGACGAGCTGAAAGAGAATGGAAAAGAACAGTGAGATTCCATGACTCCGACTTGGACAGTTCCTAAGAGTTATCTCTGACTTTATCCTCAAGAACCCCAGGAAGACAATTTACATTGTGGGAATTTCTTGCACCACACCACTGACAGGTTAGTTCACTGAATTGCCCCATGAGTTATAAATTAATTAAACATTCAGAACAAATCTCTCTTCAGAAAATAGTAAAACCATAGGGAAAACTAAATGGGTACAAAGCCTGACATTCAGAGCGCTCCTTGTTAATCCTTCTTTCTCTTAGATATACCTTTTCTACAGAACTTGTTCCTTTCTCAGATGTCTCTGCATTTTGCCCTGTTACAAATGTAATTCTGGAAAGAGAATACAACCTTTCTCTCCAATTCCAGGGTCAAGAAATTCCTCCCAACAAGTCTTAACATTTCTTCCGAATATATGCACCTCTCTCTAAGGAAAAGTGCTTACCCTGATAAGCAGCATCTGTAGCCTTCCTCTTGACTTCTGCTTCCTCCTCCTCCAGTTTCTTCTTTCTGCATACAGAGCCAAAGCCTACTGTCACAGAGCGCCCCTTAGTTCCTCCTCCACAATCAGCTTACTGACCCCCACCCCATTATCTCCAGACAATGAACTGCCTCTGCAGACTCAGGCTCAATTCCTTGGAGGACAAAAGCCGTCAGAGGCCAGTCAGAGAATAACACACTTGGCAGGAAATTTCACTGCCAGCCGATTATCAAAATGGAGGAGACAAGCATGATGTTGCAAGCCACCAGCAAGCTCTGTACTGATACATTTCAAACCGTGTTCCACACAAGCTTCCAATTTAAGCTAAGTCCACCCTCAAAGGCCAAAGCATCTGCCCAGCTGACCCATTTCTCTTAACCCACAGTATATGGAGCAAGCGATGTCAGAGAACTACAAACTGAGAAGAAAGCATAACATGGAAATAATTAAATAACTCACATCATAATCTCATTGCATAGCTCCTCCAGCCTGTTATCCATGTGTCCGGCCTGGATCAGCTCTGCATCCCTCTTGAGTTGCCTGTAATCAGGAAATCTTACTTACTTATCACTGAATAATACACCCTAAGCAGCATTTTCATCCCAAGCACCATGGCACTCAGGCAACTTTTCCAAAACAGGGCTCTCAGGTGCACCACAGCTTAACACCTCTGCCACACACCTGTACTTCTCCTGTGTTTCTTTAATGATTTTCTTCAACTCCTCAACCCGTTCTGCAGTGAGTTTCCGCACAATAACATCCTCCACAGTCTCCACAACTTCTCCCTTCTCACCACGTTTTCTCCTAGAGTAAGAGAAAACCAAAACCAGTTCAGACATGAAACACAGAAAACCTTCTCCTTTCATAAATGGCTGCTGCCTGTCATTCCTGACACATGCACACAAAAAAAATCCACCTCTTCCCATTTTCCTTAAATGATGTTGGACAGCACAATGTTCAAACAACCTCTTCTGAAAAAAAACCCCACCCTAATTCTTAAATGTGTCCCACGTTAAAGATTTCAGGAATAGATCAAAGATGCAAAACCACTGCAAATTCTCAACATGTGAAAAATCAATTCCATTTCACAGAAGATTCTTTCTACCCATGAAGAAACACCTTTTTTTTTTCCCTCCATAACTCAGTCCTTTTATCTTTGCAATTCTATTGCTAAAGATCATTCAGCACTATCACAAACAAACACTACTTTTAAACATCCTGCCTTTAATTTGATGTGAAGTCCCAAAACAAAATGCCTGGAATTTGGAGTGAGAAACATCTGAGACCACAAAGCTGTAGTGATAGCATTGATAAGAAAACTATAAGAAACCACTGCAAAACAGAGACGTATACAAAACATTTCCTCTTCCCACTCCTGCTGTGTTTTCTACCTCTATTCAAAGTGATAATTTTATGTGCAAAGCTTCTGATCAGCAAGACTAAAATGTAGTGTTTTATTCCAGCCAAATAAATGTTTCTTTTTTTTCTGCATAAGTCCCCAAGTGCACACAGTAATTTACAAACAGAGCTGTGGCAAAGAGGCCCCAATTATCCTGCCATGTACTGTAATGACAGTAGAGGCATATGGAAGACACTAACAAGTACACAGTGACCAATTTTAGAACCACATAATACTGAAATACTTCAGTCTTATGAAGAAAAAAGGAGACAAGACAAAGAGATATGGAAAGTGTGTTCTGAGGAATACCTTGGGCTTGCTAATCTTCCCCATCTGCCATACCTGGAATCCCACCCATGCCAGCTATCACAACTGAATCTCCTCATCACTTTACACTCCTTTTGGGAGGAGCACTATTAAGTGCTTTGCTGTAAGAACTGACAAGTCTACCCCAAATTGCTGCAGACTGCACTCATGCCAGACTTTGTACTCACTTGGGGGTCTCTGTAGTCTCCAAGAGCTCTGAATACTGAGATGCACAGTGCTAAGAGGAAACAAAGAAAGTCAGAGGACACAGAAGAGTCAGCTTCAGCAAACACCTAACAACTGAGGGAACTTATTCTATCCTCTTCAGCTGTCTAACGCTTTATGAACGTATGTGACAGTCTTCTCCAGAGTTTCCCCCCAGCTCTAATTTAGCGTAGCTCAAAGTGAGAGAGTGTATTCCCTCTCTTACTCCAGCACTGCCCAGGCTGATCTTCAAAACAAAGCTAAAGAACAGATGCTACCATCTAACAGTTTAGAAATCAAAGCAAGCATGACTAGGGAAGCTGTTCCTGTAATGTTCCTGTCCGTGAATGTGAACCAGAATGTTTTAATGGAGAAGACAAAATAACATTCTATCAAGGCTGGCTTTGCAGCTTAACAGGAACAGTTAGCAACCTAAAACACCCAACTTCTCCTCCCTTTGTTCTTTTAATGTCTTTCTGTCCCTTATACAAGAAAAATCCCAGGTGCTTGCCCAACCAACAGTACACAGCTGCTTGCCCAAGCAACAGCATACAGCAAAATACATGGGCATCCACAAATTCCTGTGGCAAGGAATTCCACAGCTTAATTACATGCCTGGTGAAGAACAATCTCTTGAGATTTGCTTCTAACCTGCCTCCCGTTAGTCTCCCGATAGCCTCTAAATCTTGTACTAGACAAAGCACTGAACAATTAAACTTTATTAATTCTTACTGATCCTCAACATGCCACTTCTGACTGTGCAGGCATCTGTTGTATTCCTCTTACCTCTTTCTATGTTAAGGATTCTACCTTACTTAGCCTTCCCTTACAAGGAAGCTGTTTCACGTCTTTGATCACGCTTGTCTTTTCCTTAACTTTAACCCCTGTACTGTAAGCTCAGATTTCATTTCAGAAACAGGAAAAAGTATTTAATATGATGCAAGTAAAGATTTTTGTTGGTTTTTTTTTGGTTTTTTTTTAATAATTTTGCTATCTTTTTTTAAAACAAGGAATACATTCTTTTAGGCAGCTGTATTAAATATCCTATGCAGAATTCATCTTTTCCAAGATCCATATATCAGTACCTTACCTTTTGAGAAAACCAGTCAGGTGGGCGTCCTGGCTCTGCAAAAGGTTTGATAGCTCTGCTGACTGAGACCCTACAGTAGGGAAATGGCAAGTCATTGTCAACTTACTTTCTTCCCCAGCCAACATGCAGAGAAAAGACACTGACCTGTCTTGATGTTCATCACTGAATAGCCATTAGTATTTATCTATTTATTTATTCATCACTGAACAGCCACAGTATTTATGAAGTTGCAATGAAGTTGCAATGAACTTACAAGGAGTTGTTATGTTTGGAAATTATTCAAGTACAGCCCTTGGACTCAAAAAGATTTGCTTGCTTCTAATAAACAACAGTTTCACTCCCTTGCTTTGAAAAGCAAGTTTCTAGCTTCTGATGACACCACTATGTTTCTACAAAAACCTTCCTCTGGTGCAAGAAAAAAGCAGCAAACCAGAGCTGCATGTTCAAATATTCCAATCTATGAACACAGAATGTTTTGTGTTGGAAGGGACTTTAAAACTCATCCAGTTCCACCCCCCTGCCACAGGCAGGGAC